TCCGGAAATAATTATAAGAAGTCGAAAAAAATGTGTACATTTGATAGTATTATTAATGAACTGATTGGTTAGTTAATCATCGGTTAACTATGGATTATGAATCATTATTCAAAACACATGTCCTATTCGATGTGATAAGTATGAGATACAAACTGAAAATGAAAATACATTATACGCAAATTCTTAATACTAAGCTTTATTACCTATGTCATTTAACAATTTAATTAGATTAATTTAATTTTATGTTTCACCTAAAAGTCTTTGTATTACTTTATTGAATGATGTAGAGTGATAAAATTAATAAAAATATGAATAATTTTTCAGTCTTAGTGGAATTACATTGACATCAATTTTATGATTATCTGTGTATATAGTTCAATAATCACAATAAAATAATGGATTTGTGGATTTCCAACCAACTTGATTGTTAAAGCAAAATTGCATTAATTTATATGACTCTTAAGGTTAATTTTTCTTGTCGAATGTGACGCGTCTTATGACGAAAAGAAAATTTGAAGGGTTCGAACAGTAATGAAGAAATAACAACAACAACGATGTTTCGAGTTTTGCCAAGTACTCATCAGTGGTCTTATGAAATATTCAAATATTTATTTAATTAGTTTATAATCCATAATTCCATATAATTCCATAAATCCATATAATTTGACATTAGTTAGTTGAAAATGTTAAGGGAGCTTCTGTTTGTTTAGTAATATTTCAGTTAATAATATATCAGACAAAAGATTAAATTCATAATGGGTATATTAAATAATATACATTATATATATTTTATAAATCTCTTACGTATTCAATTAATAAAAACAAGGATTTCATACTATAATGTACAGTCGTAATGAGAATTAAGGTGGCAACGCAATTACAGTTTAAAAGGGCATTTCTTCTTCTAAAAAAATTCGGTGAAGACAATTCTATTTTGAACAGAAAAGAGACTTTATATAAAACTGTATAAAATCAGAGAATATCTATAATGTCTACACTAGTGATATGAGATAGATATTTGAGAAAGAAAGTAAATTTGAACTGCAGATTTTGGCAATTGTAAAAGGAATTCAATAAACCATTCTTCTGCTTTTTCTGATTTGCACCTGATTTGTCTTTGGGAAGAATCCCTAATCAAATGGCGTACCTGTCAATGAGGTAGCAATCTATCAGTGTAGCGATTGTGGTAGGCATTATGTGGTGGGCGAGAGTAACTAATCTGTAAGTATGTCATTCGCCATGTATGGACGAAAGATATTTCGTCCTTTTAAGGTGTGCTGTACAGTTTAATGTTTGATGTACTAGTAACACCTGCGTCACTTTTAACAAATTCGTCTGCTTTTCAGTGACCAGTAGCTTTCCTATGATCACTTGAGTGCATTGACAAATCAATGAGAGCTGTTTGATTTTTTGATACAAGCTTAGATGGTATTGTGAATATATCAGCAAGGAATATAGTGGTCGTTTGGCTGCCATTGGAAATGTAAATTAAATTGAGATTAATTACAAAATTATTATTGTTTCGTTTAAAAAACATTGAAGGATAGTCGTAGGTTGAGATCCTAGGAAATACATGATGCTTTAAGTCATCTTTGAATTTGTCTTACAGACCTTATAGATAATAGTAGCTGGAGATTGAGAAGACCTCCAATTTCTTGAAAGGGTTGCAGAGTAGATTATTTATTATATATACAACACTGTATAATATTATAGCATTGTTTTTGCTTTTTCCAGCATTACAGCTTCTGTGCGTACTACAAATCGTATAAATGCTCTACTTACGGAGTCAATGTTTGGAAGGCGTAAAGCATTATTGAAAGCCTCACAAAATGAAGGTGAAAATGATGGCGATATTGAAAATGAGAAACCAAAAAATAATTGGGAATTCTTTCGAAATAATTTTAGCATGGAACGGGCATATAAACTTATTGAAACAACAATTGAAGAACGCATGACTTGGGACCGATTAAGTCGATCCTATGATTCATGGCGTTCATTGCAATTAATCGAGTCTTTAGCAGCTGATATTAGAAATAAAATAAAAAAATTGAATTATCGAAGGTAACAGAAGATTTAGTTTAATCAATTTTTTTAAAAAAATATTAATATTTTCTTTATAGGTACCGCATAATATGTGTTGTTTCGCTTGTAGAGAAACAAAATCAAGGAGTCAATATGCGTATGCGGTATTTAATGGACGAAAAGCTGGATAATTATACGAATTATGTTTATGAGCGTCCAACATACTTTATTGTTGTTACTCTATTTTTAGTTTATAAAGATTAAAGTTTGAATATAACATTGTTTATGAGAATTTTTTATTTAATAATTTTGTTAGTTAAATATCACATCAATATCATATCACATCGCTGCCCTATGCCACATCAAAACTATACCATTAATAACAGCTAATCTTTTTAATTATTTCTCAAGCTAGCAAATAATATGCATAGTTTCCATATAATGTTGGATATCAGTTGACTTAACTTTCAAGTTAGGTATCAACTTATGATTTTACGGATTTACCTTTAAAATGTTAATCAATACTATTGGATTGATATTAATTTTTATATCCTTTAATGTAGAACAATTTTTGTTTTGGCAATAAATATAAACTGGAAAGTAAATTTTTTCCTTATGTATATTTTATTTGTAAGAAATATAATTGTTTTTCGAAAATATATGTGTAATACCATAATTTTCTACTATAGTTCGAATTTTGTCAATTTTCCTGGCGTTGATGTCGTGCTCTACGCGCAACTCGATCTCCCTTCCTTTCATAGACCAGTGCCAATGCCGCTGCAACTATCAAACAAAGTGCCTTCAAAAGATGTTTAATTTATAATCTGTAGTTGAGTTATTTATTAAGTATTTAACACATACTTCAATTATGAAAGCTAACAAACAAAAAATCGCAAGTGATTTCATAGTGCGCTTGTAATAGTTAACAACATCATTCAAACAATCATCATTCAACACATTAGCCTGATTTTCGTGATTAAAATGATCATAACAACTTTGAGAAATTGCTTCTTGATCCTCCAAGAAATTTGGTTCGCCAGCATATCCACAACATTTGTTCTATAATTTTATATATTTATATATTACGAGCATTGTTGCTGTTTTTATTTAATAATAAAAATTTTAAACCCACCATAATTTGATACGCGAATAGATTGTCTTCACACTTCAATAATCGCTTCCATACATAACTTATCTGTTGAAAGCAGTATCTCTTTTCATCCAAATTCATTACAAAGGCAAACCAGGTAACAGCGGTCACTAGTATTATCGTTACCATATTTACAACATACTGTAAAGATAGTATAGTATATAGGTCAGTTTCTAAGTAAAGATTATTAGAAAATATATGAATCATGCAACAAAAGTTTAACTGATAATCTATTAAAAAATCAATTCCTTCATTCGATATAAATTTTAAAATGAAAATTATATATATTGAACACGGTTTTCGATACTATCCACACAAAATATATGTATTGTACTATATATACTAGCAAGAAATATGTAAATTTCCTTAATTTGTTACTTACAGTCCAAGTTAAGCAACTACTTCGGCGCCATGGACCCAAAATTCCAAATATCGACACAATAAAACCGAAAATAAAGACGATTAGCATTACATGTAATATATGATGGCTTCTGTCTTCATCCTTCAGGTCATAAATAAAGATGGTATTCATAATGATACAAATTATTGCAATGATCTAATAAAAATAGATTTAGTGAGTATATTTTTTATTTATTGCAAATAAACTACAATTTAATAACTTAATTAACTTATTTATAATATAATTTAGATTATAATGATTCTTTGTGATACTCTAGTTACGTCTGTTCAAAAAGTAGTGAGCCATTCAAAATTACACATACCATAACTAGCTTATCAAGTGCAGAATTTTTGTGTATTGATTGCACTGCCGGTAACGTGTGTGTTAACTATTATGCTATTACAATGCTTGATTTCATTATAATGTCATACCTTAGCTCAGATCAAGCAATTTTTACAAATGCTTAAGATATGACAACAAAATGTGTGACAGCAAAGTATGTTCCAAAAATGTGTCACCTTATCAATAGTTCGTATTTAAAACGATAGCACTTCTGACTTTTTTAGTTCCCAAACTCAAAAAGATGTTTTTAACAATAGATGAGATTAATATACATTCGCGAGCTCAAGCTCATAAGTAAAAATGAGTTCCAGAGTTCTTCTCAATCTATCAATTACGACGGCTTAAGTACATTATGTCAAAATAAGTAATATCGCACGTTGGT